CTGCTTTCCTGGAGGTGGCTGAACACCTGCCCACTGATGATACAGCCATTTAGAAATGTAGAAGCTCTAGCCAGAAGAAATAATCAAAAGAGGCTTTGTTCCATTGATTTTCACAAACACCACTGTTATTATTTTCTGTTTTACTTCACAGTATTAAATGCAGAAAAGAAAGTGAAGCACAAAGATGCTTATTTCATCCAAGAAGGGAAAGCCAGGTGGAATAGGGGTGTTTCACCACTTATTCTACCAAGTGTGAAAGACTCTAGAACAACAATAAAACAAGAAATCTGAAGAGAGGGTGCTTGTGTGAAAGAGAGCGTGAGGGAGAGAAGTATCCTTGAACATGCAATAACTAACACTCAACATCACTTGTCAAAAAATATTTTAATTTTAACGAAAGCCCAGCATCATCAGTTTCACACATCAGAAGTTATGGAGCCACCCATAACGCATTCAGGTGCCCCCATGGAGGGATCAAGTCCACACCAGAGCATCATTTGAGTTTTCACAGTTGTTATGCCTTATATAAAAATATTTTCCAATTTCATATTTAAAGTCAGTGTTATCTGTTCAAAATAAACTCTTTCCACATTATAAGCTTTTTTTGATCCTAAATTAATTTTCAAATAGTAGAATAGAATGTGCTTGATACAGTAACAAATACCTTCTTTCCCCTTGCAGAGAAGGAAAACTTAGTTAAGTTACATCAAAAATACTTTCACAAATCATTCCAGTATTTGAGAAAAGTTGTGATATAATAGTGACATTAAGATGTAGAGATTATTTGATATGATGAATTCCACTGTTCTATATATGGATCTGCCTCTAAGGAGTCTAAATTCTCACATTCTTTACTCTGTCAAATAGGTAACACTTCCTCATTGTAAAAATCAAATTCAGTGTTCCTAATCCCTTTTGGATCTGTGTGAACTTTGCACATGAGAGATGGCGTAAAAAGGTGTTAATTTATTTTTTGTGGTTGTGTGTAGCTTATTTTAACAGAGAACTAATTATGCACACCATTAATTTTCAATCTCTGTAAGTCATGAATCAGCTGTGTCATACTGTATCGCTTCTTTCTCACTTCTGGGTTACTAACCCAAAATTGCTGTGTGAGGCTTCCAAACCCCAAATCTGCTCAGTTCTACTGTTGAGGGTAACAAAAGCTGTTATGTTGCCATTTGATCAGACTAACAAAGCTGGAGATTTCAGAATCCTAATCAGAAAACACTTACCCTTAACAACATTCTAATTCAATTTAGAAACCACAACTCCTCTTATACTAAAGTCAAATACTTTAGGTATTATCACCCTGCTTCTTTTGAAGAGTGAGGGCACATAACCACTTCCAGCTGAAGAGTTACCAAGAACTTACCATGAGATATATGTCCTGTTTGCATAAACACAATCGTATTCTATAGCACATTCAATCTAAGCAGCAAAATAGAAACAAGTGAGCATCTTGGCATGCAAAGAAAACTCTTCACAGAATTTAGGAACTCAGTGTACCACTTGCCATTGTAATCCAAGCAATGCTTTCCATTCCACAGTCAGCTGAGCCATCCTGTAAGACGGCTTTGCCAGAAAGATCCAAACTACACCGGTATTAGAAATAAAACAGAATTGGATAGTGCTTACAAACAGGTATTATTTAACTAAGGCATTGAAAGGTTTAGAACTAGACTAATCCTTTAGTTTCCAGTAAACACAGCATTTCTGAATGCAGACTGTCAACAGACAGACATCTTTCACGTCCAATAAGTAAAATTTAGTTATGGCTTATGCACAGAGGTTTTTCAGTATGACATGATTCAGGCTGTGCTAGTTAGTGAGAATTTACATCTGCTTCAGAAGAGTTAGACAAGCTCATTAACAATGCAAGGTATTTGATTCTTTGCATTATTAATTCGGCTCTACAATAGATAAAAAAATAAATCTTTCATGAAACAGCCAAAGTAATTCATTTGTATTTCAGCATCACCAAGGATCTTCTTCCACCTACAAGGAGTAAGAGTAAGAGTGAAATTGAATGCATAAGCATTGACTGCACTAAAATGTATTTGAAAGTTTTGAAGACTTAGTTTTATGTAGACAATAGAACACAATTTCTCTACACTTCAATATCATAATGATAGATTCAAAAGATATTCTGCTTTTCAAATATTAAGCACTATTTCTGCAATCCCATCAATACAGCTTCACAAATGCTGAACAGTCTCAGTACTTTTAACCATTAGACCAAAACATCATCTGTCCTGCAATTAATTTAAACTGAGCACAGTGATTGTGCCCACTCTACAGGAGTCCTTCCTCCCAAGGCACTGTATTTAAGCCAAGGTACAAGTGCAGTTAACCACAGATAGTTCTAGAGATACTATACTTGATAAACAGGCAGATCCCCCTATTCAAACATATCTTATGACTTCAGACATGGCATCCAGTAGACTACTTGGGGAAAAGACATATATGTGTATAAAAACCAGTTAATATACACTGTTACTAATAAGGAGAAGTTTTACAGGTTCCAAATATAATGAGAGTTAAGTGTGCAAAACTTAAGTACTTACTAAGGCTTGACGCTGTAATATTCTTCTGGTGTCACAATTTTCAGTCCACCAAAGTAGTCCAGGACCCAAATATTGGTGATGTTGAATTTAGCAAAGAACCAATTATGATCCTTAGGCCAACTTTCCATTTCAGGGTGGCGACTGAATAATGCTTTTTTTGCTAAGCCCACTTCTGAATCATTCACCTAAACAATAACCAACAAAATATTACAGTAAGATACAGTCACCTGAAGGCAAATTTTAGCTGAAAAAGCACTGCTGACTGCTGTGTGCTCTTTTCAGTTTAGCCATGTGTTATCCCAAAGGACTCATTACTGTGGCAGAGTCCACTCATCTTCAGGGTGGTGTACAACTATATATGAGACAGACAAAAACTCCAAGGTAGTTGCTTTAAATATGAAATCAAAAGGGTGCTTTTAAAGTAAGCATGAGCAAGAAAGTACTTCATCAACATAAGAACAAATCTTTCAACAAATCACAAAACAGAGAAGTATGGATTCTTGCTGAATTATTACAATGCAATGTTTTAGGTGTAATTTTACCTCCTCAAAACAGACACTAAGAGATCCAAATGTGTTCAGATGCATGCAAACACACACATACACACCCACAAATAGGATGATACAACAGAATCTACAAGAGAAGGGATGCTGAAATGTGTGACAGCACTTAATAGATAACGTGCAAATTTATAAAAGGTTCCATCAACAAGTTAGGTTTCTGGGTAGAGTACAAGAGGAACTAATTAAAATAAACAACTCCAATGTTGATGAAGAACTCATGACAGCAATTAAAGGCTTGCTGGAGTGTACTATGCAAATATCTGAGGTGTGAAAACACCGAATAAGAATTTAGACTACCACACAAGAGAGAATTATGATGATTAGTCCTCATCCTCAATCATTATCCTCAATAATGGGATTAAGGTCTTAAGTGTATAACACGTGCAGTTCTAAATTCCTTCTATGGGACACCAAGGTACTGGTGCAGCAAAAAACACTGCCCTAGCAGCAACGCTGGCAGGCAATACAATGCACTTTTTCTGTCTCTGACTCCTGAAACTTCATAGCTGAGGTTAATATTTACTTCTGTAAAGTTCTGGAAGCACATATGTCACACTGCATGGACCAAAGAATTTGAGTGAAAGAGGTGGGAAAACCTTCACACTTCATTCACAAGAGAATTGCCTTAGACTTCTTAGTTTCAAAACAGGTCTAGAGGTATGAGGAAGATTTCCTTCATTACAGGATCATCCTCCCAAGTTCCTTGCTAAACACATGCCAACATAGCTCCTGCAAATATCAAGAGGTGACTTCATTTTCCTCACACAAACTACGAGCTAGCCTTCTGGTATCACAGCACACAGCATCTCTTCATACACTTTCTCACAGAAATTCTAACCTTTCTCTTCTCCATCCACTAAACAATATTATTTGATGCACACAATCTTGTCCAGCGTCAGCTTTCAGCTGCTTACCTTTACAATACTGCCACAGAAGATTATGTGGGCACAGAGCGGATTCTGGGGATCATATCTATGTTTCTTGCAGTAAGGAGTCTGTGCCAAAGACACAGTTAAGGAGGCATTTGAATTGATCTGAAATACAAGCAGCGAGATAAGAGGTTTACATACTTTTGTGAGAAAAATGTCATACCTACGATATTTTCAGCTTTTGGTACTTTATTCAGCACAGTAGTACGGGTAAAAAGACCAAAGCTGTCATCATCTTACCCTAACTATATCTGAAAGCCTACTTAGAGGAGCTCTGAATCTGACAGACAGATGTTTGTCAGGATAAAATGTAAACCTCACAAAACAGCACTCCTTAAAATTCTAAATTCAACACACAGTCTAGCTATTTCACATTCAAATGATGATATATTCCAATTTACATACATACAGGACAGTACAGAAGACAAGGACATACAGTGAACTTAATGAAGTGAATTTTGCTGGAAGGACAAAGAGTTACTAAGAAGTCACTAACTGAGTTTCACAACTGTTGACAAAATCAGTTAAAACAAGAACAAATACCCTCCCTCTATCTAAATAAGTCTCAGCTGCCCCCAAACTGGTCAGCTCTTTCAAAGTTTAAAGTGAATTTTTAAAGTCAGGTTTAAGAAATCCTGAGTATTTAAGTACAACATCTAACTTGAAAAATTAAAGAATCTGTATCCAGTTGTTTTTCTAAAACTAATTTGGTGACCAGAGCTTGAAAAGTATTGGTGCAAAAGAGGATTTGCCTACTGCAGAACGTCACATACTAAACTTCACTATTTCCCAGCAAAGAAAGGTCACGTGCTTTGAGAAATTTCATTACAAATGCTCATCGCAAAACAAAACTCCAAAAAGTCACTTAAGCCCTACCTACCACTGAACTGAGGAAACACCAACAGCCGCCTGACACTTGGGAAGCTGCTTAACTACAAAAAAGCTGACTCATGATTCCTCAGCACTATCTCTTATCACACTTTGCACGTGACTGTCGCAGTCAAACGTTTCTGCCCCGTAACAGCAGAATAAGGATCTGTCCGGGAACCTTCTGAAGGCAAATGTCCTTTAGAAGTTTATAAGTTATGCTTTTTAAGTTATTCACAACCCAAAAGGATGTAGGTGGGTTGGAGGATGAGATACTGATGAGGCTTTGAGCAACCTGGTCTAGTGGAAGATGTCCCTGCTGATGGCAGGGGGGTTGGAACTGGATGAGCTTTAAGGTCCCTTCCAATCCTAACCATTCTATGATTCTATGATAAAGTAGGCTTTCTACAGCATTTAAATACATAATTAAACTATTTTAATGTAAGAAATCAAACCTGACAGGGAACAAACAAAAAAGGTTCACGGTAAAACAAAGACTGAAAAATCTGTATTATTTGTTTTATTAATACTGTGCTAGTTACTAGAAATAGGTTGTCCTTGCTAAAGGATGCATCATGATTTCTCTACCATTTTAGCCAACTCTTTCTTGGTCACAGCCAAGCAGAAGAGCTGAGACAAGGCCAGTTACACACACTGGGAGCCTCAACACACCAGTCTGCTGCCTTTCGCTGTGTGCTCACCTTTGTGGCGAGCTCCTGAGAGTTAATTACTATTCCTTCAGTAGCCTGTGTAGGAGATCTCTTCGCTCAAGTCCCACACTGCCAATTTCCAGTCCTTCTGATATTTTTTGCGAAGTTCTACCTGTTCAAATATTCTGTGGCCCTTCATTTATAGAATCATAGAATCACAGACTGGTTTGGGTCGGAAGGGACCTTAAAACTCATCCAGTTCCAACCCCCCTGCCATCAGCAGGGACACCTTCCACTAGACAAGGTTGCTCAAAGCCTCATCCA